ATTTGACGTGGGTACCTGGATGGAGGCCTGAGGCTGGATCACTTTAAGGGAACTGTGTTGTTTGGACTTCTGAGTAACCAGTAAGGTAATAAAGAAGCTGTTTTATGCTGGCTTGGTAAATCTAAGTATTGGAATATCCACCAGTTTTTGCGGATTTGGCTTCCCCATTCTTTGTAGTTCACCCTAATTGAGTGACCACAGCTGGTCACCACTGGGACCCTGGTCACAGCCCATTAACAATTCCCTGAGCTGGGTGGTCCCCCTAGAGCTGCACTCTGTGCACCCCTCACGGACAGCTGGCTGCCTATGCTGCTCTCTGTGGTACCCTTTGAAGATTTTTAAAGTAGTAACAAATGCCAAAGGGGCGGCTCAGATTAAGGCTTGGGGAGCTCCAATACAGTACTCACAGCTGCTGGAGGTCATGCAGGTTACTGAATAAAGATGGTGGAAGTTCCTCCAGTTTATTGTAAGACAGGTCACTGTGCAAACAAAAGCAAGATTTCAGACAGCTGGTTGTCGGTGTTCAGCGGGGGTGGGGGGTGGGGAGGGAAGGGCGCTATATGCACACATCATAAAACTGTTACAATTGGGTAGCAAATGATAGCCCCAAGAATGGCTCAGAGCTGGAGTAACTAGAACGTTGCAGGTCTGTGGAAGTTCAGGTGCTTGCAGAGCGCTGTGTAAATGGGCGGGATTGGGGGCAGGCGAAGCATAGCAGAAGTCATGCAGATTAGGGTAGAGGTGCTTGGCAGAGCTAAGGGGAGAGCCCAGGACTGGACTAGCAGGCAGTACTGCCGGTTAGGTTTGTGGTGCATTAGAACATAACATAAGAACGGCCATGCTGGGTCAGACCAATGGTCCATCTAGCCCAGTATCCTGTCTTCCAAGAGGGGCCAGTGCCAGATTCTTCAGAGGGAATGAACAGAACAGGGAAATTAGCAAGTGATCCATCCTCTGTCATATAGTCCCCTCTTTTGGCAAAGACTTAATGACACCCAGAGCATGGGGTTGCATCACTGATAATTTTAGCTAATAACTACTGATGGACCTATTCTCCATGAACTCATCTAATTCTTTTTTTTCACCCAGTTATACTTTGGGCCTTCACAACATTCCCTGGCAACAAGTTCCACAGGCTGACTATGTGTTGTGTGAAGAAATACTTTCTTATGTTTGTTATAAACCTGCTGCCTATTAATTTAACTGGGTGATCCTGGTGCTTGTGTTCTGTGAAGGGGTAAATAACACTTCCTTAGTCACTTTCTCTACACCATTCATGATTTTATAGACCTCCATCATATCCCCCCCCTTAGTTGTCTCTTTTCTAAGTTGAACAGTCCCAGTCTTTTTAATCTCTCTTCATACAGAAGCTGTTCCATACCTCTCATCATTTTTGTTGCCCTTCACTGTATTTTTTCCAAAGTCTTTCCAATATATTTTTTGAGATGGGGTGACCAGAACTGCATGCAGTATTCTAGGTGTGGGCGTACAATGGTTTTTATAGAGGCATTATGATACTTTCTGTTTTATCTATCCCTTTCCTAATGGGCCTTAACATTCTGTTGGCTTTTTTGACTGCTGCTGCACATTGAGCAGATGTTTTCAGAGAATTATCCGCTATGACTCCAAGATTTCTTTCTTGAGTGGCAACAGCTAATTTAGACCCCATGATTTTGTATGTACAGTTGGGATTATGCTTCCCAATGCACATTACTTTGCACTTATCAACACTGAATTTCATCAGCTAGTCACCCAGTTTTGTGAGATCCCTTTGGAACTCTTCATAGACTTAATCATCTCGAGTAATTTTGTATCATCTGCAAACTTTGCACCTCATTTTCCAGCTCATTTATGAATATGCTGATATTGCCCAGCCTGTGTGGGGGTGCAGGACAGGAACAGGAAAGGGTGCTGCAGATCAGGAGTGAAGAGCATGAGCAGAGCTGGGAGAAGGGGAAGCTTGGACCCACTTAGCAGCACTATATCCAGCAACATCAGCATTCCACTTTCATAAGCATCAAATAGATGTAGAGGTTATTAAAAGCTACCTGTAGGTGGAGCAGCCAAGCACCCAAGTGTCAGGAAACTATTCACCAAGGGAGAACAAATAGATCCCCCCACAGGATCATGAGCAAATGATCACGGTCAAGACAGTGACACAATCACAACAACCACTGACACGCCGTTGACCACGAGGGGTGGAGGAGGGGCACTGCATCTGGGAAATCAATAGCAATACTTACAGCTCCACCAGTCTGCTCAGGTTGGAAAACGCCCCTTCCTGGATCCATTTGATCTTATTTCTGCGCAGAATCCTGGAGGAGGAGAGAGAAGCTCTGGTGAAAAGCAGCCCTTCATTTCCCAGTTCCTTCCAGGGTCTCTGATGACCTAAGAACTGAGCACGGCACGAAGGAGATCTTAACGCTGGAATTCTGAGAGGCTTCTTTGAGGCCACGCACCCAGGCCTGCTCTGTTCCTTACATAGCACGCATTTACTGCTAAACTTGTGCCAGTCCCACTGATACACTCACATAGATCCAAACACTTATATTTGGCGAAGAGCAGCTCCAGGGTTGAACTGTGGGGTTCAGGGACAGCTCACAACTAAACACAGAATCAGACGAGTCCATAAGAATTTGTCGGAGTGTGAACCAAACAGAGCTGACAGTGCAACCCAACATTACACAAAGCTCATCTGGCTTCAAGCCAAATTCAGAACTCAGGACGGTTCATTGTCTGCGATTTGGGCACCTTTGGTATGAACATCCGTATCCAGTATTGAATGAACCATGGTTTTCCAGTGCAGCCACACGTTGTGTCACTTATTGAAGTGCCAGTTTGGAGGAAGTTTCAGTGCCATCTCTGGATTTGACCCCCCCCAGGCCCTCAGTGAAAAATTAAGGGAGGGATAAAACTGAACAACATGCTCAGACAACTTCCTGAAGCCCTGAACATTCATCCATGGCTCTGGCAAGGAACTGGAACTGCTGCTGCCCCTGCCACATGGAGGATATTTCCAGACCCCTCGTACCTATATATCAGCTACTCCTTTTACTAGCTGAGCTATGGAGCTCAGCTCCCCAGGCTGGGAGCTGTGGTACAGGCAGGGCCGGCTCCAGGCACCAGCCCAGCAAGCAGGTGCTTGGGGTGGCCAAGGGGAAGGGGCGGCACGTCGGGCTCTTCGGCGGCGGGTCCCTCTCGGAGGGAAGCACCTGCCGCCGAATTCCCGCTGAAGAAGAAAGTGGCGGCGCGGTGGAGCTGCCACCGGAGTGCCGCCAATCGCAATTGCGATCGCGGCTCCCCTCTCCCCCCTCTCCCTCCCCGCCCCCGCCGCTTGGGGTGGCAAAAACCCTGGAGCCGGTCCTGGGTACAGGAGGTCCTGCCCTGGATGTAGTTTGCTCATGACCATTGTGTGTGTGTCTTTATTTTCTGTGGAAGGTATTCTTCAGCCCAGGCTGTGGCTGCCATAATTAAATACCCACCCAGGGGGAGTGGGTGGGAATGCTGCATTGGGAGAGGCTCATGTCCTTGTCAAACATTTAATCTAGGAATACCCACTCCCACCCCTTAGTTATCAGATCCTCATTATCACCAGACCTCAGCTAGGCTGGGATAGTTGCAGAGAGAAGACAGAGTGAGGGAAGGAGGGCTGGGGAAGTTCTTCCTGCTGTCCCACACCACCCCGCGTATTAGCCTCTTCTTGTCTGTTTCATCTCCTCATAAAGCTGTCACTTGTGCTGGTGTCATTGGCAGGGCGTGTTTATGCCTTCTGTCTTGCCCTGGCTTATGTTTCCATGACGCTGACATAACTCTTCTTAGAAACACATTCCTGATCAAAGCCAAAAGTGCTTGGATGCTTGGCTTGAAGAAGCATTGCATTGTGGGGAGGAAGCCACTCATTCTCCTCCCATCTTTGGCAGCATGGGGCAGGGAGAGTTCTTGCTAAGGGAACACAGGGTTCAGCCCCTTGGGATAAAATGTCTAGTGGCCTCCTCTGTGAGCCGTACAGGCTGTGTCAGCTTTCTGTGGCTGAAAATAGGTTCTTCCAAAGCATTTGTTCCTTTGAGAAGGTATCAAGAGGGGAGCTGAGGGTGGATCATTGACAACATCCCCTGGAAATCACTGCAAAATACAAACGAGTCTTCAGGCTGCAGTCCAGCCCCTGTGCGACACACGCACGAGTCTCCATCTCAGTCCATTTGTTAATGGCTGCTCACTTCTTACTTGCCCACGGATGCCCTGAGAGTAATAAGTGTTGGCAGTGCCCACAAACGGGTTATAGAGGGCAGGGAAATACGAAGCACCATGCTCCGAAACTGCATGCCAAAGACGGGCCGGCGCCCAGCAAGGAAAGTGAAGTGCTGGAAGGCTGCTACTTCAGTGGAGACTGTACTGCTCCCTGCTTTGGGGTTTCCACACTGCACACTACAAAGCCATCAGGCTCACTTAGGGTATGTCTACACGTCAAGCAGACATCCCCGGCTGGCCTGTTTCAAGGGCTGGCAAGGCCGGGCTAAAGGGCTGATTAATTGCAGTGTAGATGTTCAGGCTCTTCTTGGACCCTCCCACTTCACAGGATCCTAGAGACCGTGCACCACCCGAATGGCTACACTGAAATGGCTACACTTAGCCCGAGCCACGTGAGCCCAAGTCAGCTGGCATGGGCCAGATACGGGTGTCTAGTTGCAGTATAGACAGTCCCTCAGTGCCAGGAGCTGACCCCCAGCTCTAGAGGGGGCAGGAGCATACGGGGCAGAGTCTGGGCACCATACACAGAGACAGCAGGAACTCCGAGGAGGCAGAACTCCTGGGTACTGAGTTCTGGAATGTGCCGCCAATGCTCCATCAGCTGCAGGTTGTTCCCAGAGGGTCTGGGAAAGCTCAGAATTACAAGGTTTCATAGAATCATAGAAATGTACGGCTGGCAGGACCTTGAGAGCTCTTCTACTCCAGTCCACTGTGCTGAAGCATTTGGAAATCACTCAGAAAATGAGGATGAAATGCATCAATTGGAATGTCTCCTTGCCTTGACTATGAAAATGCCTTTGGAAATTAGCTCTTTGATAACTCAGGCTGCAACAGAGCCCAAGTGTTTCAGATGAGAAATGGCATAATAATAATAGTGCCTGTTAGAACAGTATTTTGCACACTGCAGTTCTTGATTACTGCTCAGAAGTGCTTGACTTGTGTCCCGCATGCAGACCGAGGAGGTACCTGGTTTGTTTGTTCCATCACAACAGCAGCTCACACACACACTGGCTGTGTTACTGCAGGCCTAACCACTTCTAAAACTCAGGGCCAACATTTTCCCATGTGGGTGCCTAAAGTTAATTAAAATTAACTAATTAAAAGTGGGCTGCTTTTCAGAGCACCTGCTGCTCTCAGTGACTTTAGAGGACGATCAGCACTTCTGAAATGTTGCCTCGGGCCCATACTGCCCCTTTATCCGAGGCGCTCAAAGTGTTTCACAAACCTTCATGAGTGAAGAGCGAATATCCCTCTGTTCATTAGACCAGGTGACCTAATGGGCCTTTGCCATCTCCAATAGCCAGGGCTCTATGATTAATTATTTAAGCCTCCCAAATCCCTTGCCAGGTGAGCAAGTAACTGGGTGCATCAAGCTAAAAGTAACGGGACTTACTTGGGGATTATACCATTGTTAACACAGCTTGGGGAACGGGGAAATCTTCCTCAAGATACAGGAGGCGATCCTGCCAAAGCCACTATCAGCTACTGTTCAGATAAGCCTTGGGTTTACTCACCTACTCCAATCTGACAGCTTTGGGAAAGGATCCAGTGATGCATTCCCAGTGCCCTGGATAATAATCACCCCTCACTTTGGGAGGACAGGCTTGACTGCACATTCCATTCATGCCACTGTCCCATGAACAATTTGTAGCTTGTGTACATGAATAACATATACAGGGCATGGAAGTTTATTAGCCTTATTTTGCAGGGCTCCAGAGGCTGAACCTTCTGGGAAATATATCAACATCATGTTTAGGAAAACTAGACTCTAGGCCAGGGCTGCATCTTCTCTGGGAGAATTCCTTGGCTTTGTGAGCTCCTGGAAAGCACCAGCACTATAGCTTGACACTGTAAACGAACACTGCAGGCCAGATATGAAATTGACCAAAAATAGACTTTAGGGATGAGGGGCAAAAAAAGAACTGGCACATGTTTAACAGGCTGAGAACCTACTAGGCAGGCTTTATATTTTTCTTCTTTAAAAGATGAATGTAAAAGGGATTTTAGAGCTAGTGAAAGGTTCTGGGTGGAGAGCGAATCGCTTTGCCCACACAGCAGCTACAGCGTGGGCAGCAGAAAGGTGACCTGTCTCCACATCCCACCCTCTGCCTTAGTCTTTGCTCCAAGGGTACTAGCTCATTCTCCATGGTTTGTGATGTGGACAGGTGTTAGCCTCACCAGCTCATGTCTCGTTGGTCACCGAATGGCCCTCAATGGCTTTTGCTCATTACTAACCTGAGCAGATGCCAAAGCAGTGAACTAGAGGTGAAATCTTTGGCCCCCATTACCAAGTATAAATGCAGATGTACAACCGATATTTAAAATACCATGAAATTGTCTCTACTGTTGCTGTTTATAAACATAGGTTGTGTGCCATAAAATGGATTCAAGATGCCAGATCTGCAGTAGGGACAAAGCGGCCTAGCTCTGTTAAAGTCATTGGACCTGCACTGATTTATACGAGCTGAGAACCTGGCCCAAGGTCGCTGGTGTTGCACCCAATTCATAGCATGACCCAGCTGATAGATGAGGTCCCTGGTGATTTCCTCCATGCAGGTGAGGGTTGAAGGGGTGACTCCATAGCCACGCCAGATCCCACTCTCCCCCCCACACCTTCGTGTACGGCCAGTGGAGGGTTGGTACTCACAGCACAGTGAAGGTGCTGCATTCCTGGAACACTGAGCTCTTCAGAGCGTGGATCTGGTTTCCTTCCAGCTCCCTAGAAAAAGAGCAGTAGCTGGGTTTCCGTGGCTAGCAATCCTTCACCTTATTGATCCCCCTCCAACCTAGAAGTCCTCAGCCAGACAAATTGTTGCTTCTCCCTGGACAGAAGGGAGTCTGTCCTGATGCCACCCATGAGAGCAGAGCTCCTGACCCCAGCTGCCTGGCAGCGGTGTGAGAACTGACCCCAAAGATCATTGTCTCTGGTCCTGCTTTCTGTGTCACTGTCAAAAACGACATTATCCCCTCATCTCCTAGGCTCACGACCTCCCTATCCTCTTCATTTCCTTTCTCTGACGCATGCTCTCACTATGGCCTTTTATTGCTTCCTCTCTAATATCCACCCTGTCCCCTCGCTCCCCTCTGTTAGAACACCTTTGCTTGTCTCTCATCTGCTGCAGCCTTCTCCTCTCTGCCCTTCCAGTCCAGCCAAATCACCTCAAGCTAACCCCTGCTCTGATCGCATCTACCGCGCTGCCCTGCAGAATACCAAGAGAGACACAGCTGCTTCTCCTCGCCCTCTCGCTTGCACTGGGAATACCCCCACCCAACCTGCTCACAAGAATGCCACTGGTAGGGGTGGGCTGAGGTGCCTGTGCCTTATTCTGGCTAACCCAACACCACAGCCTCTGCCGATTCAGACACCAGATCTCCACACCAGGGCAGGTACTCACAGCCAGCTGAGCTTCGGCATCTCTGCACATACGGAAGTGTTGGGCATGCTACTCAGGGAGTTGTTCAGCATGTACCTGGTTGGGAAGCAATAAGAAAACCTTAGATGGGGTGGGATCTGAGTTACTACCGAGAATTCTTTCCTGGGTGTCTGGCTGGTGAGTCTTGCCCATACGCTCAGGGTTTAGCTGATCACCATATCTGGAGTCGAGAATGAATTTTCCTCCAGGGCGGATTGGCAGAAGCCCCGGAGGTTTTTCTCCTTCCTCTGCAGCATGGGGCATAGGTCACTTGCTGGAAGATTCTCTGCACCTTGAAGTCTTTAAACCAGGATTTGAGGACTTCAATGGCCCAGACACAGGTTTGATACAGGAGTGGGTGGGTGAGATTCTGTGGCCAGCATTGTGCAGGAGGTCAGATTAGATGATCATAATGGTCCCTTCTGACCTTAAAGTCTATGAGTCTATTAATGCCTAGTACATGTGCCCAGTACACAGGGGGGATTGGTACTGCATTCCTGGCACAGTCACTAATGCCTCTGAGCCTGAAATGCAGTTACCTATCTATGCTGAATACAGTACGTGCAACATTTCACTAGGCCTGTCCTCGCAGTCTGTCTGTCATAGACAGCTCTCCAATGGCTCCCACGGTAGTAGGGAGTCACACCCCCTGTGTCCAGAGATCACAGGTCATTGAGCCAATCCATTGCACAGATATTAGTGGTTGCTGTTAGTTTCACTCATTTCCTTTAGGGTACTGACTCAGATAACCACAATTTATAGATAAGATTATCTTCAGCAGGGTTCCTGTGGAAATAATGGGATATGCTCATGTAATGACAGACCGTATCCTAATGCATGCATACAAGCGGGCCAAAATCAGGTTGCACAGGCAACCCACAGCAATTGCAGGGAAAGGCCTGCTCAGTCTGTGTAGCCCTGGCTGGAGCATGCTTGCTGCAGACAGCAGCTTCAGAGAATGTAGCTCCCTAACTCTAGCAATTCTCTACCAAGCAGGTGGGAACTTCAGTTTTTCAAAGGTTTATAACTTGGCCAAATGTGGGTAGTTTTTCCCAAGAACAACAAAAGACACATCCCTGCCAAATGTCAAGCCCCTGCTCCAGGGCATGGAGGTGCTATAGAGCTTCTCAACAAAATGGTTGTGGGAATATTTTTTAACATGGGCAAAACAAAGCATTTCCCCCTAATCTTGTTCTGATTAATGGCTGAACCATTTTTGCTGAAATGTCCCCAAAACATTCTGCCTGAGGCACATGCCTGGAACGGAAAATTTTAGACAAACAATTAAAGTTTGGCAAAGTTGTAAGAAAAGGAAAACAGGGTCATACACTGTGAAGTGTTGGGCAACATTACGTATAGGTTGCATCAGCAGCTCTGCCTATAATTAAGTGTCAGACACTGAGATCTTTATTCAGGCAAAACTCCCAGTGGAGATTTGCTTGCATTAGGACAGAATAATAGTGGTAAGATCTGGCCTTAAATACAGTGCAGCAAAGGAAAGGAATGGTATAGATCAGTGCTTCTCAACCGGTGGGTTACAAACATTGTGGGGAGGGAGTCACTCACAAATGACAATCGGGGGAGGAGGAGAAGCGCAAAACATTGACACTTTTAGTACTATCTAAAGCAGAGGAGGGCAAACTACGGCCCGCGGGCCACATCTGGCCCACGGGACTGTCCTGCCTGGCCCTTGCGCTCCTGGCCGGGGAGGCTGTCCCCCCTCCCCTGCAGCTACGCCGCCGTGCGGGCAGCATGACTGCCAGACATGCTGCTCTGAGCAGCATGGTAAAGGGGCTGGGGCTGTGACGTTGGATAAGGGGCGGGAGGTCCTGGGGGACAGTCAGGAGACAGGGAGCAGGGGGCAGTTGGATGGGGCGGAGGTTCTGGGGAGGGCGGTCGGGGATGGGAAATGGGGGGTTTGGATAAGCGTGGGAGTCCCAGGGGGCATGTCAGGGGGCGGGGGTGTGGATAGGGATCACAAGATGGGGAACAGGGGGGTTGGATAGGCATGGGGGTCCCGGAGG